CAGTTGAAACTATGGTTGAGTCTGTCCATGTGTTGTGAGATTAAGGAGTTTTCATCTTGTCTTTTGACTGCTGGTTGGTGTTCATGGATACACTCTGCTAGTCTTCTGCCTGTCTGTCCTACATAGTGGCTGTTATAGTCCTTATATTGTACTGTATGTTGTAGATGACTCCTGTTTTTTCGTCTTCAGCTACTGGGTCTTTTGGTTTACTTAAGATGTTTTGGAGGGCTTTAGTTGTTTTGTGTCCTACAGTGATCCCATGTGGTTGCAATAGTCTGGTGTTTCTGAGACATTTTTGATGTATGGTAGTGTTATCCTTTTCATAGCTTGTGTTGATTATGCTGTAGTGGGTTGAGTGGTCAGGCCCTTTTTGATAATTGTCATAATTAAATTTATGAAGTACTGTGAGGACAGAGTTTACATGCTACTTTTGGGTGCAATGGAAGAGGTATTTGTATTTCCACAATGATAGATGAAGTAAGATTCAATTGGCAGTGTGCTTATTTTCTCTAAATGGAGAGGTGTGAATTAGAAATTCTACCGTGTCTTTCATCTGTGTACCAGGGTGAGTCCTGACTGATTGAAGTCCTACACATTTCTACTCAAAGTGAACCTCTTTGAGTTTGAAGGGATTCCTAGGTGAGGAGATTGTAGCACAATACAGCAAGCTAACCTATGTTGTTGGGAGGAGGGGCTGAACACATACTGGATTGTGCTGTGAAAAAAGACAAAGTGCATGGTTGATGTGAAAAGACAAAGCTAAGCCTGATTAGTCTATTTAGTGGTACCTGTGCAATTCAGTCCAACATGTGCTGCATGATGTGCAAGATAGACCCTAGAGATTCAACTGGGACTCACTTCTTTTCTGCTTGTTAAAGCAGCCGGGGTGAGGCAACCGTGCTATTTCCAAGGACCACAATATTGATGTTGTGGGGATGACAGCTATAGGATGGGACATGTAATTTAAAGCAACCACACCACACACTGGAGTGGAACCAGGAGATTTCAGACTTTTATATATTTGGTTATTTTAAAAAAAAATACTTTCGAATGTAATATGTTCATTTCATAGCCTAAACTATACTTTTGGTGTGTTTCATGGCTCAAAATGGCAGGAAATACACAGTATTTCTTTTCAGCTATTACAGTCTGAGCAAATGGGTGCAAAATGTACTGGGGGCTGTTTGCATCCTGAGGCAATTTTTTTTTTTACTTTAGACCAGCACTTGATAACTGCATAAATCCTTTTGATTTCTGCTCACACTTTTCGCCAGTAGAAGTTAAGTTCAACTTCTGTCACACCACTCTTAGCAAACAGGAAAGCTCAGCAGGCTGCATCCCCCACTTCTCCTATCACAGCTCCCCGACATGTTGTCATACAGCTTGACACACTAGGCGATAGAGAAGGATTCAGCATCTCCCTTTTTATAACCACACCCACACAGGGTTGTGTGGTGGAAGCTGGAAAAGGGGATCATAGGTGTGGGCAAGGGGGATGTTGAGCCACAGATGTGGCACAAGGAAGGTCAGCAGTAAAGACTGGCATGGGACAGACTAGATCCAGAGTTCTTCACACTAGTTTGGGTAGCACTAAGGCAAACAAACAAACAAACAAACAAATAAATAAATAGCTAGCATCAAAACTGGAAGCAGGAGATGGCAAGGAGAGAAGCAGTTGGCAAGGAACAAAAGGAACAGAGAGTAAAAACAGCAGCCAGAGAGACAGGTCAGAGGAAAAGGAACACTACACAGCAAACCTCCTTCCTTAAAGCTGACAGTAGGAGCCTGCCTGGCCTGACCAGGAGGTGGCTGAGACAGTCAAGGGTTTGAGCCCTGCAAAAGCTGGCTATAGGCTGAGAGGTGAGAAACTAATTGGATCCCCTCAAGCAGGCCAGGATTGTAAAAGTCAGTTGAGCCAATCTGTTCTTCTAAGTGGTGGAGAGGAACTACAAAAGACAGCTTACATGTGAGTAAATGTATTTCTCAGAGAAAGCAGAAAACTTACTTCCAAGAAGACCCGTTTGTTCAAACAGAGATAGTTAGGAAGGAAACCTTGAAACGTCCACGACAAAGAAAAGGAAGAGGCTGTGTAGGAGCGCTCATTTAGTCCAGACAGTGCAAACTTCGCAAGCCATCGCAAGTATTTTTTCCCAGATCCCATCCATGGTCGGGAGCATAGAGATAAGAAACTATAGAGAGAGGATGATGTAAGGCCGATCAGGACAAACAATAGGAAATAATTTCCCCTTGCCATACTCAGAGTCTGGAAAGTAACGTACTGTATGGTTGGTAGTGGAGCAGCCAACCGAAACTTCGTCTGTAGTCTGCATCCACCTAGATGAACCCTCACAGTCCCTTCCCCGCTTTCCTTGAGAATAGTCCCGCGAATTCCACCTTCCTCCGGTGTAGCCACTTCGACGGCCCTCCCTCCTGCGTTTCCCCTCAGTGACATCAGTAAAGTCGCTGGGCGGATGTCGACCGCTCGCCAATTCCTAGGAGGGCCTTGCCTTTTAGTTGGCTCCATTTCCTGCTGCAGCGGACGAGAGGGAGAGGTCTGCGAAGCTCGCTATTTGCGGTCAAGGACGTAGTTGGGGCTTCTGCTGGGATAGAGCTGTGCTGGCGTGGATGATGTGATAGAGGAGATAAGCTCTTAATACGGTAAGAAAGCCTCGGATTTCTGTGCTTTGCTAATAGACATCCACTGTGTTGGTCTCACAGGAAAGGCAACGTAAAACTCTCTGGAATGGGGGAAAGACTAGTTCGGAGCGGGCAGGTTGAAGGCAGACGCAACGTTTGAAGTGTGATGGAGGAAATGCGGAATGAGCAGAAATGCTACTGTATCTCGCGGTAGCGATTTAGGCATTCCAGCCTCTTCAGGAGCTACGCCTCTTCTCATGCATGTGGACTAAAAAGCCTGCCTGAACGAGGAGGAAAATAGCTGGTTAAGGATTCGGAAAAAGACTCCTCTTCCGGAGTTTTGTGACTGAAGTAGAAGTATCCGTTTATTGTGAAGCATCTACAAATCAAGTTGGATTGGATTGTGGATATGGGGCACAATTAGAATTCCTGTTATCTGTATATAGTAGTTGCTCCCGGTAAATCCGTACAGGTCGGATTAGAAAATATTGTAATTAGGTGTAGAAAGAGAAGGCAGATACAAAGACGAAGCTCCTGCATTCCCTCAAGAGAGCTCCAATAGCTTGCCTTGAATTTCTTCTTTTTTATGCGTTTCCGGTAACTAGCTGTTGTAAATGTTGCATTTTGTTTCTTCTCAAAGAAGAAATGAGAGCAATGACTTTCGTGCTTTGCCTTCTACTGAGGTCAATTCTTCCCAAAGGAAACGGAGTATTTGGTGTGTGTTGTGACTTTTTCTGTCTTTTTAAACCAGGAAGAGCAGCAGTGTGTAAAGCCTGATTGCAGCCCAAAGAATCTCTAGTATTACCATGTGGAAAGGATAGTATCCTTAAATTAAATTAGTAACAGTGTAATGCTTCTGGAATATACACATTATTATCATGGATTTGAATTTTTGATTGGTCTGTAGCGTTTTCAGTTCACTGAGGCAGCAACCAAGTAAGTCCAGTTGAAGCAGATGGGACCAAACATCAAGGTGTGAGCCTCTGAAAGAAAATCTACCTTCTTTATCTTGTTTTAAAATAAGGACGTTTTTTTAAAAAAATTGTTTTTCTAATCTTAACTATTTAATTAACCCTACTTCTGATGCTTTCTTGAGAAAATAGAGGGAAAGGATATTAAACTTAAACTATATAATAAATATATCCCAATTTTAATAAGAGATCTTTATTTACATCAAAATAAAAGATTATAAACTGCTTGCAAGCTTCTGATTTCAGGTACTGGAAATATTAGCTATTCATCCAAGATTAATACATAATATTGCATTCCTGATTTAAATTTTTCTGTAATAATAATTATTTATTCAAAATGATTACATATATTTCTGAATGTGTCATAACTACATTTGGTTTCAAATTTACAGCATTTTGAAAGGCCCAGAAAGCAATTACCAATATAATTGCTTTACCAATTACCAATGCATAAATTACAGCAACCTGCATAAGATTAAAAGTGAAGTCTCTTTGAATCAGATTTGACTTTTTGGATATATCCATGCAGTTTCCTTGTCAGCAGTATGGAAGTGGTTACTGTCCTCTCCTGAGAGATTTTGTTTGTTGTCTGTGGTTGTTTTTAGATTTTTTTATCTTGCCTTTATTTTTTATAAATAACTCAAGGCAGCAAACATACCTAATCTTCCTCCTCCCATTTTCCCCACAACAACAACCCTGTGAGGTGAGTTGGGCTGAGAGAGAGTGACTGGCCCAAGGTTACCCTGCTGGCATTCATGCCTAGGGCAGGACTAGAACTCACAGCCTCCTGCTTTCTAGCCTGGAGCCTTAACCAGTAGACCAAACTGGCTCTCAGTTTACTCTACAGTTCCAATATTCCTTGCTAGTTTCCTATCAAACTATTACAGCCAATTCTGCTTAACTTCCAAACCCCAACAAGGCTAACCAGGTGCTGCTGCCACCTCTTTTTTTTTTTACATTCCAAAATAAATCAAAAGCCTAAGAATTTAGAAGACATTGGACTTCTCATAGAAAGTAAGATGACAGTATGAGCCATGAGATGAACACATGGAGGGGAATCAGGAGGTAACATATCTATTCTTCTAGTGGGCAAATCATGGTTCAATTTCATCTTCCTATCTCTGCTAGCTCTCTCAATAGTAGACAGTATAGGAGAAGGTAAATTTCCTGCTCAGAGTAACTTCTGCGGTGTCTAATTTCAAATAGGATCACTTAAATTCTCTTTGCTCATTGAGGAAGTTGTCCAACATATAAAAATTAGATGATTTACAAATATGGGATGCTATTCTACAATACACCATTAACATATTGGAGAACACTGAGACTTACTCTTGAAATACATGCTATAAATGCCACCGTGGGTGAAAACTGTTAGGAATAGTACCCTTAAACATGGAGCAACTGAACACTTTTACATAAGAATTAATGTTGATAATATAAAAATAACATTCTGTTCCAACTGTATGGACAATTTGATAGTGAGAATTTTCCGATTAAAATGTTCTGATATGCTCTGTGGAAAGCAAAACATTTGCAATCCTACTTGTACTCATGAGAGAGTAAGCTTATATCTGAATAAGCATGTAACAGCACATTCTGTAAATGTTCAGTTATAGTCTCCTGATTTTAAAAATGGGACATGTTTTTTCATGCATTTTGGTAGATATGTAGATGTCAGGTTCAGCCCAAAGAACTCCACAAGACAGTGCAGTACAATTCTGTTGCGTTTATTAGCTTCACCTCAATACAGAAATCTCCCCAGACTGAACCTAAGTTCCCCAGCCAGCAAGCCACAATACCCTGAATTCCTTAGCATGGTGCCAGTCTCATCATCTTAAACTTACCACGCTCCTGTTGAGGGCTAAGGAAACGCTTATCTCCCTGAGCGTGGCCTTCATAACACCATTCCATCACATCAGAATACGATTCTGAGACCACTTCTCTGAGGAATCTCAAACAGAATCCTGGAAAATAGGGAAAGCAGTATTAACTAATACTAGTAATAAACTAATAACTTTATTGGGTGTGATAATTTATAGAAACCATAAAGATCTATTCTGAGTTCTAATAGTTTTGGATTTAAATAATATATTATGGGTAGTCCTCACTTAAAGACTGTTCATTTAATGATGGTTCAAAGTTTCAATAGCCTCAGAAAGGGTGCTTTCCTGCCTGTAAAGCACTTCCAGCTGTCGTACAACATCACGCTGCCCCCCCCCACAGTCACATGGCTGCATTTCAGCCACTTGGCAACTGGCTCACATTTATGACTGATTGCCAAGTGCCCAGTGATCATGTGATTGCCAGGGAAGATTGCAAGTGGAGGGGGGTGTGGCAGTGCAGGAACGTAGTTCAAATCCTGAAGATTTGAGCTCCATTCCTCCAGCCCCACCAAGGATTTCCCCTCTGTTTGCAGAGGGGAGGAGAAACTCTTCAGTGGGCTTTAGGAATGTTTGAGAGCAAAAGGACTGCCTGCTGGGAGGATTTCAGCTCAATGCTCAGCTGAAATCCTTCAGCAGACAGCTTTTTCGCTCTGTCCACTTAATGACCTGGGAGATCCTTAATGACCACAACTGGGAGTGCCCAGATTGTGGTCGTTGAGTAAAGCAGTCACATGAGTATCTCACTTAACCGCTTCGCACAACAACCAATACCAATTGTGGTTGTTTGGCAAGGCCTATCTTTAGTTTCCTTTCATTACATTTACTTAGAAGCTCAATTAATGTTAGAATGTAATTGATGCTATATTTGTCTCTACAATTGTACCAAAGTTTTAGATATATGGGAAGAAGATTGCTTTAAAAGGGGCATATATTATATGGTATATATTTTTATGTTGGAAGCAGGAAACGTATAGAAAAGGAAGAGTGATGATGAATAATTATTAAATGAAACTTAATTTAAAGAAGATCAAATCAAATTTCGTTTGTATTCTGGCTACTAATTTGTATCCCTACTACTTTTTTGAATGTACAGCCTGGCACACCAGTCAAAGTATGACTGTTGGGCCTACATCCCCATCTTAGTTTCAGCTTTCTTTAATCTGTTTTGTAATCTGTTTAATCTGTTTTGTAACTCTGCTATTTATTTTTTTATTTTCAAGAAGTGATAACAGGTTCTGTACCTTTGGGATTTTTAAGAGGCAATATGGGCTTCAAGATTATCAAGGATTATGAAGGTATTATTTTCTACTCCTCTCTGGCCTGAGTTAGGCTTGAACCAGAATAGGAATAAAAGTAGATTTTGGAAAGATGATAATGGAACTGTTTGGCACTGATTGATTTATTGGCCATTATGTTTGGCCCACTTACAGTCCAGTTATCTAAATCAATATCAGTAGTTTGCATCTTAAATTCTTAATTATATTAAATAATTAATTATATAATTCTTAATTATATTTTAGTTGAAAATTAATCTGATCTCTCTGATGATGCTGCCTAATCTACTGGCAGGGCCAACATTGAAAGAAAGTACAGCTCATAATAAAGTTAGACAATATGGTACCCAGTGGCACCAGTATGTTCCCAGACATCTTCAGGCTCCTTGAGTTTTTTAAAAAAATAAATAATTCTTTTACTCAAAAAGTCAAATGGGAAACTGACACAATGAAATGCAAGTGATTAGAGTTTGGAGCAATCTAAGTTCTCTGGTTGACTTCTCTGATCAACCATGGAGCCTATAGATTGATTTGGGGCTATTGTTGTCTCAGAAAAACTGGTGTTTAACCCAATTAAAATGCAGGGTACCCCTTGTATGCTGCCTTGAATTCCTTAAAGTAGGATATAAATGTAAGAACAAATATAAAAAGAACCCACAGGGCTGATAGAAAGCATCTTGGCAGGCTACCTTGTCTTTGAAAAGAGTAATCTGTGACTAGCCATCCCAACTACCATTTTATGAATAAGCAAGTCTCCCATGTCAACCATTTTGTGAGTGCAGTCCACTAAATGTTCTAAAAATTCCATACGTGCTCTTGACACCAAAAGTTTGCCTATTCTGGCTTTCAAGGGCAAAAGATAAGATGGCAGACACACATGCACAATGATACAT